ACATAAGATATGAAATATGAACACTCAATATTATATATAGCATTTGTCTAATTACTGGTGGATATTTTTCTTTTTGTTTAGTCAGCACCATGGTGACAAGTTTATATATTGTCCTAACAGCTAATGAGCCATCTGGGCATGACCAACAAACAGAATTTTCTTTTATCTATTCAGGAAAGATAGTGTGCAGTTGTCTAATCATATTTATATTCTGAAGTGATTATCTGTGCTTTTTCTTGATGGGGATCAGATTTTATACCATGTAAGTCATAGAAATTTAATAAGCTATCATCAGTGTAAAGTATGAGTCACTAGTTATCAGAATTTTTTTAAAAACTTATGTGTGTCATATGCCAAAATGAATTGAAGAAGAGCAATTTTCAGATGAATGTCTGAGCATATGCTATCACAATATCTGACTATCTATATTCTCAGAACAAATGGCCTGTCATCATTTTGTCAGGACCTTTGTTGACAAGTCCAAAGCTCACATGTAATCAGCATAAACATCAACATAAATATAACACAGCATTTTATTCATCTGTTTTTAATCATAAGCCCCCTGTCAATGCAAATGATTATTATAGTGTATCCCATACATACTCCCTAAAAAAATCAGGCAGTGATAAAAGTTCAGATTCCAGGTTGTGCAGGCAACAGGTCTTGGCTAATCTTCGTCTGTGTTCATGGAGACAAATCTCTGGGGAACTGGGCAGATTTGTTATTTTAAGTGTGTGTGTATGTGTGTGTGTGTGTGTTTAATGATTTTAGAGAGAAGGAAGGGAGAGGATAGAGAGATAGAAACATCAATGAGATATCCATCAGCTGCCTCCTGCACACCCCCTCCTGGGAATTGAGCCTGCAACAAGGCGTGGGCCCTGAGCAGGAATCAAACCAGGGACTTCTTGGACAATGGGTCAATGCTCAAACAATAAGCCGCATCGGCTGGGCAAGAGAGTTGTTCTTGTAGACACCAGATAATTAAGTGAAAGAAAGACACATTCAAATCTTAAAATTTTTTCCTCAAAGCACAGCACAAAACTCAAAACCTTTCCAATGATAAATGGAGCCTGAAGTCACTGACAACCAAACCTAGAGTTTAATTCTTAGGCTCCCTTATTATGTATACTACTAGAGGCCGATGCACAAAATTTGTGCAAAAGTAGGCCTTCCTTCCCCCGGCTGCTGGCACTGGCTTCCCTCTGGCACCCAGGACCCGGGCTTCCTCCCAGTCACTGGCAGGCACCAAGACCTGGGTTTCCCTTCAGCCCTAGCTTTGTCCAGAGGTCATCTAGAAGGACATCAGGAAGGAAGTCCGGTCTAATTGACATATTACACTTTTATTATTATAAATTAGTTAAATTCACAACCTCACTATCTCTTTTATGTAAATTAGAATATCAAGAAAAACTTGTATCCTGGCAATTAGAGGAGCAACTATCAGAACATATTTAGGACTTGGGAAATCCAGAACCCTCCAAATTTTCTGAAACACTTGGCCACTGCTTGCATTGGAGAAGAGAACTACCAAATCATGCCTGTGTCTCACTGTGGCTTGACTGGTGACCAGAATTCAAACTCAGAATAGATACAGAACCAGAGCAGAGAACACTACAGAGTAGTTACGTTATAAGGACTTCACTGATTCATGGTATACAAAATTTGAAAAATATTAATGGGTTTTGATAGTGTGTAGTTGAAGAAGCTATTTTAAAATAGTTTATATTTTGATGCAGGTGCTGTCATTCTTTGGCCTGGCTCAGGAAATCAACCTTGATCCTAAAAGTGTGTTGCCTGGACTAGCAAATACAAGCCTGCAATGGATGACGGTGTTAAATGCTATCAAAATGCAACAATTCTTTTGCATGATTTGGGGGAATGAATTCAAAGACTTCAGAAGACATTCATGTTGGATTCAATATTGTAAGCATTCATGTCCACTCACTCACACATATACACACCTTCCCTCCATCATTGCAGCCCTGAAGACTGTCACTCTTTCCGTGATAATGAGATTGGTCAGAAGAGTACTTCCACCACCAAAACATGCTTTACCAGCTGTCCTTCGTAAGCTGAGAAGGCTGGCTAGGAAAAGCTGAATAAAAATTAGCTCCCTGAATTAGCTCCCAGTGATGTTGGGAGGGTCCCTAAAGACAGTGCCCTAAAAAATATGGTTCTGCCCATTTTAATAAGCAGAGTTGTTTTGCTAATCAGACTTAGAGTAGGTTATAATATGCAGAAATTTCTAGTTGTGGTTAATTCATGGAGCCCACTGGAATAAAATTGATAAGCAATGTAGTAAGGTCCTACTTAATTTATTATAGCCACAGACTCCTAGGAAGCAAAGGCTAGGAGAAACCTGACCTGAATGTCCACTCTAGAGAGCCAGGGTCTTCATCCATTTCCAGACCTGAGTCAGTTCCCTGCCCTAGAATGTCTTGAATAAGATGTTGGGTATTTTGTTTTAATGTTTTTATTGATTTCAGAAAGAGGAAAGGAGAGGGAGAGAGATATAGAAACATCAATAATGAGAATCATTGATCACCTGCATCCTACAGGGCATGTGACCTGACTGAGAATTGAACCATGACCTGTTTTATGGGTCAAGGCTCAACCACTGAGCCACACCTGCTGGGCAAGATGTTGAGTGTCTTTGAGAAAGGTCTTTCCCATGATCATCCTGCTAGCCTTTGCTCCTAAGGATCTTGGCCATTTACCTTGAAAATCCTGCAGAAATAATTCTGATTTTGAGGATTATTCCATACTAATTAATTAACATTAATTCTTGGGGACTCCATACATGAAAATGTTTCACCAATCAGACAGGGACCAAGTAGTAAATGGGATTTTAATCCAAGTCTGCATCACCCAAAGCCCAGTTAGGCCCAAGATACATTCTGTAGTGATCTCCTCACATTCTGACTATAGGACTAATACAGCAACAACAATCAATAACATTTCCTGGTTGACTCCTAACCTCTGGAGTAAGGAAAATTATGGCAAGAAGTGCCAGATAGAAGTTATCGGAGTTCCTTCTCACTATCTAATTACTAAATCAAAGTAATACTGAGGAATACAGGGACATCAAGGATGATTCCTACATTTTAAGAAATAGATATGACAACAATAAAATGAGACGATTGCTTAGAGACATGCAGCAAGACTGCAGCTGAGGCTGTTTTCCAAATGCCAATGTTAAGCTAGAAGACATTTTGTTATCAGTTCTCACTACCATTGTGTGTTGTAAGCCTTGCCATATAAGATCAATGCAAATGAACTAATATGATTTCCAATTGCTTCCTGCCCAGATCACCCATCTGGAACTGTTCATTGTAACTTCGTTTTCAACTAAAGATAAAATTACTATAAATGAAAAAGAAAATCATATGTGATTAAGGTAATCTAGTAAATATAGTTGTTTGAAAGTGGCATGCTATATAACCCTAATATTTTCAAAGGGTTAAAAATATGATTGCTATATATAACAACACAAAAGAAAAGAGCTGGATTCCAAATGGCATTCCAAATCCAAACAATTATCATTCTTATTTTCCATTCATCCATCCCTTTAGCCAATATTTATTTACCATCTCTTACGTGCAAAATAATGGAGCAAAGAAAAGACAATTCTCTGCTTATAATGTGATTTTATTTAAAGAAGGAAATTATAATAAAAACAAGGATGCTTGACTTCTTGATACTTGAAACTCCTAGCACAGTGCCTAGAAAACAGAGGTGCTTGTTTATAGAATGCCACCTTATCCAAGTAATGATTGCCCTCTGCTCTGTACTGCTAGGCTGCTTCAGTTTCTTTGGCATCACCAAGGTGACTCTGAATAGCCGAGTAACTTGGTTCTGTTAGGGAAACCTTTTTCTCAACCTCAGGAAAAATCAATCTAATCTCTTTTTCTTCCCCTCTCCCTCTCCTTACACACATCTAGTTCTTTAGAGCAGTGGTTCTCAACCTTTCTAATGCCAAAACCCTTTAAATCAGTTCCTCATGTTGTGGTGATCCCCAACCATAAAATTATTTTCATTGCAACTTCATGACTGTAATTTTGCTTCTGTTATGAATCATAATGTAAATATCTGTGTTTTCTTTTTTAAAAAATATATTTTATTGATTTTTTACAGAGAGAAAGAGAGAGAGATTGAGAGCTAGAAACTTAAATGGGAGAGAAACATCGACCAGCTGCCTCTTGCACACCCCCTACCGGGGATGTGCCCATTATCTGTGTTTTCTGATGACAAATATTTACATTACGATTCATAACAGTAGCAAAAAATTACAGTCATGAAGTTGCAATGAAAATAACTTTATGGTGGGGGTCACCACAACATGAGGAACTGTATTAAAGTGTCACGGCATTAGAAAGGTTGAGAACCACTGCTCTAGACCAATATTTTCACCTCATACTCATATCCTCTTCCATCCTACAGCCATCACAACAGGTGCTAGTCAGACATCAACAGACACACCAATTTAGTTCTGGTTACTACCAGCTTTTATCTGGTTACTGTAAACAGTCTTTAATTGGTGTCCTTGTTTAAATATTTTCACCTCTCTAATGCAGCCTTGATATGGTCACTAGAATGCTCTTTTACAACACCACTCTAATTAGGTTCTCTCATGCTTTACACTTTTTTTAATGGTTCTGCACTGCCCTGGGAAGAAGTCCAAATCTATTAACATGACTTTCCAGAAGCTTTCTGATCCATTCACTAACCACTCTTAAATATTATCTCCCTTTTGTTATCCTGGTGCCTTTAGCAAAATTTTGCTTAAATATTTCATCAGCTATGCTACTGCAAATCCCAGATGAAAAAGAACCAATTGTTTCTGCCTGGGCAGAAGTATTAGAAAGGGAGCAGCGTCCCCTAGCGGCCGGTATGATGTGAAGAGAGACTTGAAGCCATCTGAAGCCTAGGATGCCTGCGGGACCACAGCCCATTTATAGGTAAAACTTCTTCATCCATTGCTGCCTGCACTTAGGAGAACGCTAACTGATGTTCTGAAGGAAGGTAGTGTTTCCTGTAACTCCGGAGCCTAAATTACTGTGTTCAACTTCACTTTTGTAAAACACAAAAACATTTTTCAAATGAGATTTTAAAATATTGCCCCATAATGTTATGTTCATAACCTGACAACTGTAGGATGTTGAAATTTTTCTTTGGCAAGGAGAACAACATGGTCTGACCACAGAGCTTTCTGGTGAGCTGACAGTACAGTGGAGTGGATTCCTGGCTTTCAGAGATTTTGTGTTTTCCATTTCAGCCATCAATGAGAGATTTCTGAAGACCAATGGCTTCTGACAACCTGTTCTTTTCCCTGAAACACAAATGTGGTTTGTACGATTGGACAACATCAGGTTTTCCTTGTGGTTTTGTTTTTTACTCATTGTCAAGTAGGCAAGCTCTCGATAGAATTCTGAATTTGAATTTTTAGATTTCAAATTGATTTCCTACTGTGGAAATATTATATGCTGTAGAAGTACTCACAAATTCACAAGATTCTGAATATGTATCCTTTGTGCATATTTGTGTGTCTTTAGATAGATTCAGCAACTGAAGAGAATGATTAATGTTCCTATATGACTTTCTCTTAAATACTGTGGATATCAGACAAGTCTTTACTAGGGAGCAATTGTGGGAGGTGGGTAAAAATACAGGAACCCTTCCCTCATTTTCTGATTTCTCACTGTCTGAAGATCCAAACAATTTTATTCCAAATTTACTCTAAATCAAAACCCACTATAAAGAATCTTTGCATATATGCTAGCTAAAATATGTAGATTAGATTATATATCTGGAGGAGAGGGTGCAGACTATAGGTAGGATGGGTCTTTGCTATCCTTGTGTACATGGGTTGTACATTATAGACATCATCTTTACATTATTAAGTACTATGATATGAATGTTTGTCATTCTTTCCCTCCAAATTCATATGTTGAAATTCTAACCTCTAAAAGTGATTGTATTAGAAGGTTGGACCTTTGGGAAGTGATTAGGTCATGAAGGTAGAGCCCTCATGAGTGGGATTAATACCCTTATAAGAGAGACCACACAGAGCTCTCAAACCCCTTCCACCAAGAAGGTACTGACTGTGACGCAGACAAAGGGCCTTCACAAGAAGGCAACCAGGCTGGCGCCTTGATCTTGGACTTCCCAGTCCCCAGAACTGTAAGAAATAAATTTATGTTGTTTAAAAGCTACCCAGTTGGTGCTATTTTATTATAGCAGCTCAAATGGACTAGGCCATTAAATAAAAATATCTTCTAAAGACTTGATCCTGCCAATTGTTTGGGGAAGTGATCATCTCAAAGCAAAAAATTACAGATGTTGCTAGGGTTACACAGGGAAAATGTTGAAAAACTTAAAGAGAAACTTGTTCAACTTAATGTTCATTGAGTCAAAAAAGAGAAAAAAGAATAGTTCTGAATATTCAGTGTCAAATGTTTAAAATATATCTACTATCATTCATAGGAAATGACTGGAATTGTAAATGACTTTGATTATGATATGAGCAGAAGAATCACATTCAGAAGTGCATTTCCATGGACAACCTTATACTCAGGAGCCATATAACTGCATGATAAGGGAATGCTATCCATTTTGAGAGGTTTTTTTATTGGCTGCTTTGGTTTTTGTCCTATTGTTTCAGGTGAGGCTTCTCAGTCATTGACAGTGTCTTAATTGCCAAGTTGAATTTAGACCTGGACATGACGCTGACATGTATTGAGTCACTTTACTCCTTCACTAGCTCACACTCTCTCAAATTTTACCCATCATCAAACCTCTACCAAGACCACAGTGCCCCTTCCTTCCCACCTTATTTGGGCAATTGCAAAGTAATTAGTTTTTAATTGTCTTGTTTTATAAAATTTTAGTTTCTTAAGTGTTATGGTATGTCCTTGTTTATTTACATTACAGTACATGTTCAGCATAGTATAGAAGAAAAATAGAATTCATATCTGATACTGTATAGTATCCTTGAGAGCTGCATACAAACATACAATTGATGAGCCCATTAAATGTTAAATAATTGGATGATTAATATTTTAAATACTTATATCATGCTGATACATGTTATAGAATTGAAGATTGTTGTTAATGATATTTAGGAAAATTGGTTGGATTTTTTTTGTATGGATATGATTATTTTTCCCATTTAAAATACTATAATATTAAACCACTTCTAAAAATGCTAGAAATAGAAGTAGACTCTAGTGTCTAAATTGCTACTCAATATTTCAGATTGATAATGAGGAATACAGGCTGAAGGCAAAACAGTGAAGATGGTGACTTTTCTGCCCCTCCCCCCAATTCCCCTTTGTGGCAGGCTGTCTAAATGGTCATATTCATCTCTGTATGGCCAAATGCTTCATCCTACAGCTTCTCTGATCTGTATCTGATGCTGACACCAAGGAGGTCATGGAAGTGTCTCTGTCCCAATCCTAAACATTGTCATTTGAAACCTCTCTTTATTTTATACAGCTGTCTCAAAATATATATATACACACTGTAACAGCTGATAGCTCAATTTTGAAAATGAAATGTATTTTAATAAGTACATTTATTATTATATTATAAATGTATTTATAATTATTCAAAGTGTGTGTTTACATTGGGAGGGATTCCCTATATTTACCTTCCAACCTGATCACTTAACCTGATTTAATAGTCTAACATACAGATATAAGCATAGACCCATATACGGTACTGGTATAGGAGTACCATATTTTCGGGCGTATAAGACGAACCCTAATTTTACAGTTAAAACATAGGTTTAGGCCTATATTCGCTGTATAAGACTACCCCCACTCAAAGAAAAGACTTACTTTGCCGTCAAGATCTGCAGGTAATTTTTGTGCAATTTTGGTCTTTTGCCCCCGATTTTCGGTTGACTTTTTTTCGGTTCAAAAGTCGTCTTATACGCCGGAAAATACATGTAATAAAGTTTTTTCATTGTAGCTTTTCGAAGGATGATTATATATACAGCCTCTACTTCATTTAATGCACTATGATGTGTGGGCTGTATGCTGTATGGATATTCTCTCACCTCATTCAATTCTCTCAGCCACCTACAAAATAGCATTATTACCTCTTTTTTTATGGGTGAAGAAACTTGGTACCAGAAAGTTAGGCAATTTTCCCAAGCCTATCTGACACTACCTACATTAGGAAAGGGTATGAGATGACCAAGGCACAAAGCCTATATTTAGATCAAAATTTCCATTGCTGTGTTTTCACTGTAAGCTGAACAAATCATGGTGTGTTTTTTGTTTTTGTTTTTCTTGTACCATTTTGTAGTCTCTACAAGAATGTGTATCTGACATAAAAATCATATCATCTTGTGTATTTTATGAAGCTTTTTCGCATTATATACTTTCTGGTTCTTATAATAATCCTGGGAAATGAGGAAAAGATAAACTAAAAGTTTGGAACAAAGTTAAATTTCTATTTTCTAGACTATGAACTGTCCAAGGGCAAGAATCTAATTTTATTCATTTTCTGTTTTTATCCAGTGGGCTAGATTGATTGCAAACGTGAACAAAATTCTTCCCTTCCCCCTCATCTCCCGCTTCTTCAAAGTGTCTGTGGTGCATTTGTACTGTATTAACTTAGCTCAGCTGGAACTATTCTTCCCTTGAATTCCATTCCCTGCATAGTTGGGGGTTAGTGGTCCACAGGAGACATTTTGAAAGACAGAAGTGATGAAGCAGCTGCAATATTCCTTTCTGCATTCAAAGAAAGGAGTGGCTCTGGGCCAGGTGCATGCTTAACTCGATGAAGAGCACCAGCTCTTCCTGTAGACCAACCACCATGGAAGTGGGAGAACTGGAGGCGGTAAAAATGTGAGGTGGGGCCGAAACCGGTTTGGCTCAGTGGATAGAGCGTCAGCCTGTGGACTGAAAGTTCCCGTGTTCGATTCCGGTCAAGGGCATGAACCTTGGTTGTGGGCACATCCGCAGTAGGGGGTGTACAAGAGGCAGCTGATCTATGATTCTCTCTCATTAATGTTTCTCTCTATCCTTCTCTCTTCCTCTCTGTAAAATATCAATAAAATATATATATTTTAAAAAATGATGTGGGTTATGGCGGATCCTTGAAGGTCCAGTTTCTCTTCCACTTCACATCCATCTTCCCTTTCTGGCTGCTTTATGTGCAGACTTCCGGCTCTGGCACCAGATGAAGAAGTAACAGCCTCCCATACACTGTTTAACCAATTACCCCAGTTAGAAATGTCAAATTCCATAGTCGACTCCTTGCTCTCTCTCTCTCTCTTTCTCTCTCTCTCTCTCTCTCTCTCTATATATATATATATATATATATATATGTATATGTATATATGTAGAGGCCCATTGCATGAAATTCGTGCACGGGGGGGGGGGGGGGGTCCTTTAGCCCAGTCTGCATCCTCTCTAATCTGGGACATCCCTCTCATAATCCAGGAATGCTGGCTCCTAACTGCTCACCTGCCTGCCTGCATGATTGCCCCTATAGCTTCTGCCTGCAGCCTGACCATCCCCTAACCATTCCCCTGCCAGCCTGATTGACACCTAACTGCTCCCCTGCTTGCCTGGTCGTCCCTAACTGTCCTCCCCTGCCAGACCGGTCACCCCCAACTGCCCTCCCCTGCTGGCCTGATTGCCCACAACTGACCTCCCCTGCTGGCCATCTTGTAGAGGCAATATTGTGTCCACATAGGGGCAGCCGTCTTTGACCACATGGAGGTGGCCATCTTTGTGTTTTGGAATGATGGACAATTTGCATATTACCTCTTTATTATATAGGATATATTGGGGCCCAGAGCACAAATTTGTGCATCTTGAAAGGAACTGTGGGGCGAGAGGCTGCAGTGGGCTCTGGGACGAGTCTCGGCCCATCCTCCGTGCCCCAACCTGGCCCCTCCCTCTGTGGCCCCTGGTCCCCTGTCTGCCAACATGCAGCCCCACTCCTGCAGCCACCCACACGCTGACAGCACTGGCCCCCCTCACACCCACTGATGGCACAGAGCCATTGGGGCCAGTGCCAGCAGCACGTGTGAGCTGCAACTGCTGCCCTAATTGCCCCTCAGGGGTAGAAGAAGGTGGAGAAGCCCTCAGGAGTGATTGGGACTGGCACCGGGCACTGGCAGCGGGTGCAAGTACCAGGCAAGACTATGGAGCACAGGAGCAAAGAATTTTCAGTAACCACCAGAGGCTCGCTCTGATGATAGCAATTGGTGCCCCACCTTCTCTCAACACCCGCCATGTTCTACATGCTCCCCCTGATGATCAGCGAATAATATAGCAATTGGTTGTTTGGTTGTTCAGTTGTTCTGCCTTTCAATCTATTTGCATATTAGAAATATATATATTTCATTCTCTGCTTTCCTAATGGAGCTCTGACTTTGCAACTCTTCCTTGTCTCTTGAAAACGGGTTGGCCTTGTAATTTGTTTGGGTTACAGAATGAGGCAGAAGTGACAAGGCTTCTTGAGGCCTAGTTCTGAGCCTAGGCCTCAAGAAGCCTTGCACCTTCTTGTGGAATCCTATAACCATCGAGTGCACAACCCCGGGCTAGCCTATTGGAAGATGAAAGGCTATAACATGGACTACATGGAGGACAGTCCAGTTGTCCTAGCCAAGGCCATTCATTACCAGCCTATAAGCAGCTGTTCCACCAAAATATGAGTACACCCAGCCAAGATCAGCAAAGCTGTCCACCCGACCACAGGTGATGAGTGAGCCCATCTGAGAGCACATGCACCAGCTGACCTACAGTCTTCCAGACAGGAATATATATTGTGCAAGCCGCAAGTTTTGAGGTGTTTTTTTTCCCCTCCCAAAAAAATAGCTAACTGATTCATCCAACATTGTAATTTTTCCTCTTTTTTTTTCCAGAACAGTATAAGTGAAAAAAATTCACTTATACTTAAGAGAAAGAAATTCACTTATACTTAATCATAAAATACATAAGGGTTGGGTTATTTTTAGCTTTTAATATGAGGTTCTTCAAACTTAACATCTACGTATTACTTTTTAATTGCCATTTTATTTTTTAAAGTTTATTAGGGCGACATTGGTCAACATGATCATACAGCTTTCAAGTGTGGGTTTCTATGTTACAACATCTGAATATTGCACCATGTGCCCACCATCCAAAGCCAGATCTTCTCCTATCACCATATGTTAGGACCCTTTTCCCTCCGTCCTATTTTTTCTTTTCTCTTATTGTGAAATATAACTAACATACAGAAAAAAACATAAAACACAATATACTCAAATTAATGGATATTTAGGGTATTTCCAGATTGGGACTCGTATTAAGCTTTAAATATTCCTGTATATGTATTGTGGTGTATCTGTGCATAAGTTTCTTTGACGTAGCTGTTCTCAAATTTTTGATCCCAGAATTTTTAAAATCCAATTTTATTTAATTTCAAATTTTAAAATTAAAATTATATTTTTAAATGCCACATTGTATTCCAACACAGTTGTACCAGTTTTCACTTCCACAAGCAGTGTATGAGGGGTCTTGTTGCTTTACATGCTCGCCAATATCTGGTAGTGTCGCACTTTGAAATTTTTGCCTATCTGGTGGTATGTAATGTATTGCATTGTGATTTTAATCTAATTCACTTTCATTCTTTGTTTATAGTGCCATTTTATGTATAAAGAAATTGAGGTTTAGAAGAGCAATGTTACTTGCCCGAAGTCAAGAGTTGGAAAGTAGAGCCCACAATTTCGACTTTGAAATTGTCTTCTTCCCATTCCCAGAAGAAATAGTGCTTCTTTTCAGCCCAGTGTTCAGGAAGATGCGATCTCCTGCAAATTTCACCTCCTTGGAGCTCCTCCATCCTGCCATAGAAGTTCTACCTCTTGCTGCCTCTTCCCCACCTCTGTACCCCACCTCCTCACTGCCCCCCTCACTTCCGTGCCTGGCTCCTACCCACCTGCCTCTTTTTACTTCTCTGCTGAGATCATCTTACAGCGCATGAGCCTCCTCAAGATGATTTATTTTTATAAAGGCATAATACCTAATTCGTGTTTATAAACACGAGAACATGTATAATTTATGAAATCAACACCTGTTGGCTACTATTTATATCACCCTCTATTATTTTTTAAGTCCTCCAAGACAAACTTCCTCCTCAGTAAAACAGGCTGTGAATGTGATGTGCTTAGGACAGTGCCTGATGATAATGAATACTCAATAGGCGGTCCCGGAATTCACGCTCCTCGCAAACTGCTTTCCCGCATATTTGTTACTATTTAAGAGAAAGCTCTCTGCAAATAGCTAAGCGCTTTACCAAGTGGGCCTAGGGTAAACATAAGCTCATCATCACTCCCTGGGGGCTCTCAGCTCCCACATCACCAGCCCCTGCAGCTTCCTCTCCCCGGCGGGAGCTCGCTCTGTAGGCAGAACGCCCGACAATAGGCCGCCGGCCACACCCCTTCTCCTAACCCCGCCCACCCGCTCCCTACGCTGGCCCCGCCCACCCTCTCCCCACGCTGGCCCCGCCCCTCATCCCCATCTGCGGCGGAGGCCTCGCGAGCTTCCACGTATACATTTCCACGTCTCTCCCCTCAGTCCGAAGAAAGTACATCCGGGTCGCCGGGGCAGGTGCCTCAGGCTCCGCCCCTTCCCCAGCGCTGGCTCCCCACTTCCGGCCACCTCAGGCCTCTCCGCCGGTTCCGTGCAGCTTTCAATACCTGCTCCCCAGGTGGCTTTTGGCGCCGCACCCCCGCTTGCTCCCCCGCGGCTGGCTCCTCATCCCCCATCTCACCGAGGCTCGGAGCGACTCGGGCTGAGGCCTGCGGCGCGGTGAGTCCGCGCAGACCCGTCCCCGCGCCTCCGCTGCTGTGTTCAGGCCGCCGCCGCCGCCTCGGGATGCCGCGGCCGGGTTCTGCGCCCCGCTGGGCGGCCGCCGCGGGCCGTTGGGGCTGCCGGCTGCTCGTGATGCTGCTGCTGCTGCTGCTCGTCCCGGGACCCGGCGGCGCCTCCGAGATCACCTTCGAGCTGCCCGACAACGCCAAGCAGTGTTTCTACGAGGACATCACGCAAGGCACCAAGTGCACCCTGGAGTTCCAGGTACTGGGGCCCGGCCGGGGCCCCCGCCCTCGGCGCCGGGACCGGGAGTGATCTGCGAGTGCTTCCCTCCCTCCAGACCTCGTTTCTTTACTCCGGGGCCGAGTCAGGAATCAGCTCTAGGTAGCTGAGAGGCTGAGCTTTTGGTTTCCCTCTTCCAAACGTGGACGACAGACATTTAAGACCAGATAGTAAGATATATGAGTTTCAGACATGCTTTCCGTAGCTGTGATTCCTAACCCCCTTCTCTAATGTCTTTTATTTGAAGGCCATTGGGCTTTCTTTCTTTCTTTTTTTTTTTTTTTTAAAGACTTTACCTTAAAAAAAATTTATTCCTGTTCTATAGTGCCCAGTGCCTGTCCCCACTCTCTCAACCCATCTCTGCTTTAATCAGATGTGAGATGCTGCCAATACCTAGCCCCATTGCTTTTAAGTTTTTTTCATTGCTAGTGGAACTGTTGGTTAACGCATCTCTCTTTGGAAGAGCATCGTTCTAGGCCAGAGGACCATCAAGGTGGTGTAAAAAGAATTGCTGCAATAAATGAGAGGCCCCTTCTGTCTTTGGAAGTATAGTTAAAAAAAAAAAAAAAAAAAAAAAAAAAAAAAGAAGCAGCAGCAGCTTTATTTGGTAGAATGTAGTTTAAGTTGGTTAGGACAATCTTTACTCTTGTTTCTATTCCTTTTGGTAGGCTTATTTCACCTATTTGAGCAGCTGTTCGGTGCTGGGTGCTGTCATCAGAACACTGAAGGGTGTTTCTTCATTCCTGATTCCCCTCTATCCTACCCTTCTTTTCTTACTTAGTATCTGCTCGTTCATCAAAACGGCTTTAAGAGCAGACAATACAGGATACAATCTGGTCTTTGGGATCAATGAAGGCCTCCTTTAGGACGTGATTTTAAGCTGAATTGTAAAGAATGAGTTGTACATACTTAAATAAGGGGGAAGAGGAAATAGGTTTTGCAAGGACCCTTTGTAACCGATAATTTGAAAACCTCAGGGAAGTCCAATATATTTGGGAATCAGAAGCTGGAAAGGGGGGCAGAGAGGAGGGGGTTCAGCAGGGGCCAAACCACAGAGCACTACAAACAGCACCTGTTATGTGGCAGACAATATGCCAAGCATTTCAGGTATATTAACTCTCAGGCAGCTCGATATGAAATAGGTATATTTTGTATCCCTTTTTTATTGATGAAGAAACTGAGGCTTCCATAGATTAAAACACAAGGACATAAAATGTAGCAAGTAGCAGAATCAGAATGCAGTTCCAGGTTAAACCTAAGACTTACTTTGACCTCAGGAGCTTATATAGACATGTACAGTCATTTAATGTTAAATGCAACAGTGAAAGTACACTGTAGCTATCCTAGGGCCAAAAAAAAAAAAAAAAAATAACTTTCCTCTCGCCTTCAAAGTTCTAGCTGGACTCATAATGAAATTAACAGAAACAAATTAATAGGAGAAAATGTACAAAGTTTATTATGGATGTATATGCAGGGTTACCACATATGAGACTTGAAACCCATTGGGCAGTTGAGGCTTATCTGCCATGTTGGACAAAAGGGAAGGTGTGGGCAGGGCCTGGGATTTCAGAGGAGAAATAGACAATTCACAGGTAGCCCAGAAAGAGCTAAACATGTGGCAGACAAATTCCTGCTGGGCAAACCAGGAACAATGGGGGAGGGCTAGGGAACAAACAGGCTTTGCTAAATTTTTTTCCTGTCTTACGTGATAAAGTGAATATGAGGTTCCCTTCCTGAAGCAGGTTTTTTAAGTGAATCTCCTTAGAAAAGGGGTGGAGATGGGGGTCAGCAGGGGCCAAACTCTGGGTAGGAAAAGGGGAGGTAATAGTCTTTCTGAGTCTTTTGTTTCTTAATCAGCTTAAAAATCAGTATTCCAGAAGGCACATTTTGGGTGGCAAAACTTTGGTGCTGACTGAAGGAGGAAGGATCATTGGAAATTTAGCTGAGGGGATGATGTTTGGTCTGAGCGCAGGAGGATAAATAGGAGTTACAAGTCCGCAGGACGAAAAATGACACCCTAGGTAGATGTGTTATGTTTGTAAGACTGAATTCCAGCAGGCCTGAAATACACCGAGTGATAGTGTTGCTTCGTAACTGTGGACCCAATGGCTTTGGGGATAATTTGTACTAGTTTGTTGGCATTTTTTTAATTGATAATAGTGAGATTGATGATTTGCACCTGGTCTCTTTGAGCCCACCCAGAGACTTACCTATTAGGAATATGCTTATGTGACCAGCAAGGTATAAAATACGCAGCCAACACTCTTTTGGGCTGGTTCCAAGGTATTCCTTGCACACTTGGTGGTACCTGATCTGGGAGAGAGAGTACTAGTGTATGTGTAGCCACACCCCTCACAGGGAGGACAAAGAATCCAAAACCTAACTTCTCCTTGATCTGTTTCTGGGACAGCTTTTAGCTGTGATGTTTTCTTTTCCTATAAAAAAACGGATTTGTAAGTATTGTCATTTTGGATCCTGTGGTTCTTCTTCAGCAAAAAACTCTGTTTAACTGTTAGAAAAGATTTAAAACAAGGGCTTCTTCAGAGAACTTCTGGCTGGCTGCTCTCTTTGGAACAGAATGAGAAAGGGTATAAAGGAAGAGCTGAGGCTATCTGGGGGAGGTACAGGGGAATGGATGCCATTGTTAGCGGGTTTGGATTTTTCTGTAGAGTAAATCAAAAGGGGATTTCTGAAAGGAAATGTAATTATCAAAAGGTTTTAAGCAAATGGGGAATGGAGAAGGATCGGGAGGTTGCCCCACCTCCAGGAGACATGTGGGAAAGGGGAGACTATTGACATCTGCACAAGGCAACACCGTCCCCAAAGAATTACCTCGCCCACAAAGCTGAGAAACACTTGATTAGAGGGATGAGAGATTGGGCTGTGGGAAGAACTTTCAGTAAACTGTGGCAATAGTCCTGTCTGGATTGTGGATTAGGAATGGAAAAAATGGGATGAATTTGAGAAAGGCAAAAACAAAAAAAGAGATTCCTTTGATTTATCTGGACTGGTAGGGCCACTTAATTGGAGATGATTTCCAGTTTCTATCTTATGTGACTAGACAAGTTGTGAAGGGTTACTATTATCTGAAATGAGAATACTTGTTTGAAAATTTGTTGGAAGAAAAGTGGCGTTATTATAAGTCCTGGCCCTATTCAGTTTGTATGTATGTACTTATTTGTTTATTTAAAGTGCAACAGTCAATATGAATTAGGGTATAAAATGATATCATATTTCTTCTCCTCCTCCCTATCCAGAAGAAAAGTTGTTGACTTTTGAGGAGATGGATAAAATGATAAGATACTGTTTTTATGTCAAAACATTTTGTCTCTAATATTAGTATTACATATATTTATAGTTTCCTAAGTGCATAGTTTCATTTAATTAACAAAATGATCTTGTAGCATAGTACAGTTATAAGAGGTCATATAAGTAACCCATTCTTCTTTGAAGTTCAAAGTTTGATCTCTGTTCTGCAGATCTAGAATGTTAATAATATGCTAACCAAAGTGTTCAAGCTGGAAAATACAGGCTGTGTCACTCAGTCTCGTGTTGTTTGGGGAACCTCAAACCCATTGTCTCTTCCTCATGAATTCTTACCCAAGTGTATTTGTGCACCCTATTTTCTTCTCCTGTCTCCTCCCTCTTCCCATTCTGCTCTTTCTCATATAAGGAGGCCTTTCTTCTCTTTAATCCTTTCCCCCTTTTCTCTGGTGATTGTCCAGTTACTTCAGGAAAAATCTCCCCCTCCTCTCTTCACTTGGAAAATGAAGTTGCCCAAATTGTGACTGATTAAGCATAAGCCTTTGAAAATAGCTCCAAAATCCTCTTCAGAAACATGTTATCTATTCCCAGCTTTCCTTTCAATGTACTTGCCCTTAAATACAAACTTTCCAGATAAAAGGTCTTTTTGTTTTTATGTTGTTCTGTTTTGTTTTTGCTTTAATCATTAATCATTTCTGTTTCTCTTGGAAACAAGTTTATAAATGATGATAATACTCTTAGAACAGCCGGTACGTCTATTCAATTTGCATTGTAGTTTAAAACAAAATATGTATCAAAATTCTATGTAACTGACTTGTAAAATAATTTAACACAACCTATTTGTAATTTGGCAATAAAATTAGTTTGAGTTCTATGATGGGGTGTTATGCTAAGGACTGACCTATGTTATTATTTCACTCCTCTATCCATGGGTGTGCTTAGATGATACCAATAGGATACTACATAAGAAAATCTGCAGAAGAAAAATATTACATGACACTAAGCTTAAGAGTAAAGAGTATGACTTTGGAGCTCAAGTTTCATCTTAACTCAGTTTTTCAGTTTGTTAGATGGAAAGGTGAAAAAACCTCTGGTAGGTTTGTTTGAGCGAATTAAATGATATGAAATCTACATTAACTAGAATAGTTGTCTGGCTAATTAGCAAGTTCCTTCTCTCCTATCATGAGGAAATTTTTTCAGTTTTTATAAACCTTTAGTTGAACTGAAATCTGCCTTCCCCAGGTCCATCCACTGGTAGAAATAAAAAAATGTAAAATTGTGATAGTAAAAGTACTTAGCCTATAACTTTATTGCCATTTTAATAAGAAGTCTGGTTATTTCTAAAACTTGTTAATTGCAGTAATCTATTTTTTTCTCTCTTTATAGGTGATTACTGGTGGTCACTATGATGTAGATTGTCGATTGGAAGATCCTGATGGTAATGTGTTATACAAGGAGATGAAGAAACAGTACGACAGTTTTACTTTCATAGCCTCCAAAAATGGGACATACAAATTTTGCTTCAGCAATGAATTTTCCACTTTCACACATAAAACCGTATATTTTGATTTTCAAGTTGGAGAAGACCCCCCTTTGTTTCCTAGTGAGAACCGAGTTAGTGCTCTTACCCAGGTAAATGAAAAGTCAATGATATAGTGTTGTTGTGTGAAACACATAATTTATGTACATTAACGCAATAAACACAGAATTTTTATTTTTAACACAGTCATTAAGACTTATCTTAACTCTTGTAGTAGATTAGGCATTTCACAGAGAACCTCAGATTTTCAGTGAAGACCAGTGTTATAGGATTTTATGAACTTTTCAGTGTAAAGAAAATAAGAAGTATTAAAATAGGAGGATTATTTAAGTAGAAACATCAGTGGCAAAGGAAATTTAGGAAGTCTAAACAGCGTTTCAGCATTCTGAAGCATTTTCATGGAGGAATGTTGCTACCATAGCTTTGCTAAGTAGTTATTAATATATCTAGATGCAAAATGATGCCTTAATTAATATATAAAGATACCACAGGTGGTGGTTTTTGTTTGTGGTTTTTTTGTTTGTTTGTTTGTTTTTTGTTGTTTTTACCAATATTTATGTTCTTCAAGCTACTGATACAATAATTTTTGCCGTAACTTAAGGTAAAATATTAAAAGATTAATGGTAAGTCATCTAACAAAAATAGTTAAGGAAGCTAAATTGGGTTTTATTTTGAAGAATAGCTTAATGAGAAAAATATAGCAAAATAAATTTAAAGTCAGTGAACAGGTACTGTTTAGCTGCTGAAAGGGCTAATTTAGTTCTAGTTCAAATACAGTATGAGCTCAGATTATATCTAAAAGATACTTAATTAGGTATTCAAAAGAATTATTTAACACCTGCTTGTTAAAACCTTAAACTGGTATTTCATTGTTCCCATATAATTTCTTGGCAAAATTATATGATAATAGAGGCAGTTTTTAAGAATGTGTAAGAAGCCCTAGTCGGTCTGGCTCAGTGGATAGAGCATTGGCCCTCAGACTGTAAGATCTGGGTTCAGTTCTGGTCAAGGGCACATACCGTGGTTGCAAGCTCAATCCCCGGTCCTGGTCGGGGTGCATGTGGGAGGCAACCAGTAGATGTGTCTCTCTCACATAGATGTTTCTATCTCTCCCTCTCCTACTCTCTCTAAAAATCAGTGGGAAAATATCCTTGGGTGAGGATTAACAACAATAACAAATTAATAAAATTAAAAATTAAAAAAACGATAGTTTTACTAAATTACCATTTTTTAACCAGTAATAAAATGCTGGATCTAGAGTAGGCAGTAAAACCACTGCTAAAACCCTCGAGTGAAAGGCAGATGGGAAACCTTATAATGGATAGATAAGACTGATATCACTAAATCTAATTATGTTTCACAAATAGAGAGGTAACTAGACAGTGTCTCTGATAATAGACAGTAGCGGAGCACACAACATTGCCTATGCTATGTTCCCACTAAGAACAGTACACCTGAATCCCATCAAGTCTCTAGTATCAACTACTAGTTTATAAGAAATACAAAGACTGGAAGAACACCATGGGAATACAATTACCAAAATTTAGAAAGTGGGAAATGCTATAGGAATTGAGGCCCTAATTTCTTCAATAAATGGATGAGAAAGGAAAAAAGGGAGAGAACTAAAAGATTAAAGATGACCTAAAAGACCTATCAACCAAATTATTGTGTTGACATTGTTTGGACTCTGACTTGTAAACAACTTTTGAGGTGTTTGGGGAAATTTGAATTCTAATTTTATGTCCTATATAATAAAATCCTAATACGCAAATAAACTGGCTGGTTGAACGACTGGTCGCAACAATGCCCATTGACCACCAGGGGGTAGACGTTCATTGCAGGAGCTGCCCCCTGGTGGTCAGTGCGCTCCCACAGGGGGAGCACCGCTCAGCCAGAAACCAGGCTCATGGCTGGCGAGCGCAGAGGCGGTGGCGGGAGCCTCTCCCACCTCCGCAGCAGCGCTAAGGACCCCTCATCGGTTATCTCCCAACGGGGAAGGATCATTAGACCATGTATTTTGAGGATACATAGAAAGCAAATAAATGCTAAAGCACTTCTCTAGCCTCTTATCACAAATTAGAAATCATTTTAGCACCATTTTGCTAAATCTTTCATTCCTAGAGGCCAAACTAAAATAAGAACAGTAAAAATATTTGAATATCTAATAGGTAAATTCAATCTGCAGATCTCATCATTTTCTACTTTGTGTGTGTGTGTGTGTGTGTGTGTGTGTGTGTGTGTGTTTATTTTCTAAAGTTTCATGTATGTCTCCTTTTTCCCCAATTGATTTCCCACCCCCACCCCCCAGGCATTCTCACCCTGGGCAAGCCCCCACCACCCCAAGTGCCTGTGTCCATTGGTTATGCTAATATGCATGCTTACAAGTCCTTTGGTTGCTCTCTAACCATCTCCTTCCACCATTTGTCTGTAGATCTATTCTCATTCATCAAATATAATTTTCTACTTTTTAAAAGTATATTTAATGGAATATTTTTATAATTATTCCCTTTATACATACTTTGGTAGAATTTTTAAAAATATTTTACTTATTTTCTAATGTTTACATTCCTTATTTAAAATTAAGACCAACTCCGATTTTTAAAATTCTTAATATCTGTTTTGTGATGTAAAATAAGTATAGTATAATAAAGCATGTATTTCATCACCAGGATTAAGTTTTAGAGTAAAAAATATTAAGCTCTGTGATACAAAATAAATTAAACATTTAACCCTTAAAAGGTAAGGTGTCACCCGGCTTCCCATTCCCCATGGGCTATCAGAGCCTGCCCTCCAGGGGAGAGGACTGAGAGTTGGTCTGCAGGCGATTGGGGCCTGCGGGCTAGGGTCCGTTTTTGCATTAAGTGTCTGCCCCCCTGGTGGTTCATTCTGCTGTTCGGTCAATTTGCATATTATCCTTTTATTATATAGGATTGGTCATATTTACTGATCTACTCAGTTGGACATCATCCAGTGCATGGAGAGGTTTCTGGTTTGATTCCCAGTCAGGGCACATGCCTGGATTGTGGGCTTGATCCCTGATGAGGTACATACACGAGGCAGCCAAACATGGTTAAGATCTCTCATTAATGTTGCTCTCTTTTTTTTTTTCTTTTTCTTTTTTTAAACAATATATTTTATTGATTTTCTTACAGAGAGGAAGGGAGAGAGAGAAAGAGCTAGAAACATCGATGAGAAAGAAACATTGACCAGCTGCCTCTTGCACATCCCCTACTGGAGATATGCCCGCAACCAATGTACATGCCCCTGACTGGAATCGAACCTGGGACCTTTCAGTCCGCAGAATGACGCTCTATCCACTGAGCCAAACCGGTTTCGGCAGATATTGCTCTCTTCTTTTTCTAAAAGTCAATAAACTGTTGTTTTTCTTTTTTATTTATTTATTTTTAGTATATATATATATTTTATTGTTTTCAGAGAGGAAGGGAGAGGGGAAGAGAGAAACACCAGTGATGAGAGAGAATCATTGATCAGCTGCCCCCTGCACAATCCCTAATGGGGATTGTGCAGGGGGCATGTGGCCTTGACTGGAATCAAGCCTGGGACCCTTGAGTCTGCAGGCTGGTGCTCTATCCACTGAACCAAACCAGCTAGGGCAAACTGTTCTTTTTTTTAAAAATAAAAAAAGTAAGATGAAGGCTTACAAACTGATTACATGGTAAAACTGAAACTTGTATCCCATTGAGAACATTTATATTAGTTTGGTTGATTAGTATGAGGGAAAAATGTATTTAACAAATTGGTAACTTTTTTTTTAAAGGTATTCTGGCCTGTTTTCAGATTCACCTATTTTTAAAATAGATAAATAACTTTTGATTAACAATCTATCTTTATGCCATACTTGGTTTATATTTGTATATATTCTTACTAGAGGCCGGGTGCATAAAATTCGTGCATGAGTACAGTCCCTAGGCCTGGCCTGTGATCAGGCCATCTTCTCTGGCTGTCAGCAGCCGGCCCTGCCCCCCGCTGCCACCCGCCCCCCAGTTCCCCATTCGCCATGAGGTGATTGGAGCCTGCTGGCAGTGGGGAAGAACTGAGAGGTTGGCAGTTCCTGCCCAGTCGCCATTCCTGTCCCCCAACACCGGTTGCCCTCTGTGTGGGGCGACCAGCGGAGTGGAGGCCTTGGCCTGGTACCACCCGCATTTATTGCCACCCACCTCCTGTTCCCCGTTCCCCATGGGCTGTCAGAACCTGCCTTTTAGGGGAAGGGACTGAGAGGTTGGCCCAAAGGCAATTGGGGCTTGCAGGCTGTGGGCAGCTCTTGCATTGAGTGCTCCCTGTTGGTCAGTGTGCGTCATAGCAACCGGTCATTCTGCCGTTTGGTCAATTTGCATATTAACCTTTTATTATATAGGATTGATCATATTTACTGATATACTCAATTTCTTCTTCCTAATCTTTCCTTTTTTAAGGAATCTGGGTTTGAAGTTTTATAGCCACAAATCTTAACTGATAAGAATTTCTGCTGCTGTTAGCTTAGTGTTCCGTCCCTACAGATGCCATAGCTGTAACATTTTAGTTTGGGGCAAGCAGCTGCTTTATGGAATCTCTAACTTTACCAGTTGTACTAGTGGGAATGAGTAAAGGGTTGCATTGCCAGGACCTCTGACATAAATGTGTGAATGTTAATGAAATGAGAAATTAAAAATGAAAGATGGAGTGTACAGAAAATATTAAACATACTAACTGGAAATATTTCTCTTTAGATGGAATCTGCCTGTGTTTCAATTCATGAAGCTCTGAAGTCTGTCATTGACTATCAGACCCATTTCCGCTTGAGAGAAGCTCAAGGCCGAAGCCGAGCAGAGGATTTAAATACAAGAGTAGCCTATTGGTCAGTAGGAGAAGCCCTCATTCTTCTGGTGGTTAGCATAGGGCAGGTATTTCTTCTGAAAAGCTTTTTCTCAGATAAAAGAACCACCACAACTCGTGTTGGATCATAACTACGTTTTGGGAATTGATGCACCATTGCCACTGTAATATTGCTGTCCTCTAATTAATTTTAGGTAACTGAAGAACTGAATATTGGCAACATTTTAAAAACCTTACTCATATACTTGTTTGGGGGAATACACAATGCATATCCCAAACTGTGGAGAGGACACCTTTTTTTATTTGTAAAGGTATAAAAACCTTGGGACTTACTTTGGGCTACTCGTGTTAAATATTCAACACCAATGCACCAGTGATCTCTTTTCTTGCTTGTTTATATCTATTCTTCGCACACTAAACTTTGGTATTTTGATTCCTTTTTGCCATTTAAAACTACTTTTCTTATAGGTAGCAAATATTTTTAAAACCTTCGATTTAATATCTACATGTGTTATGGAGGAAGAAAATTGCCTTTTAATTGTTTATAGTAAATTAGATTTTGTTTTTCAGAAAAACAAATGTGACTCATTATAGCCCAAGCCCTATTCTGCACTGTTTAATTTTCATGGGGGGAAAATGTACCATAGAAATGTTTGATAATATTGATATAATTTTAAATTGATACATCATGGTATAACTTATTTTTCACTAGCTTGGAAAATGTCAGATTTTTGGTTTTGGGGTTTATTCTATGATTTATAACCAGATATGTTATTTTTTTCATAAAGATATTCTTAGCACATAGAAAATAGTATGTTTCAGTAGCATAATAGTTTTCAAGCCTTAAAAATCAGATTGTCATACCAGTTAGAATAAATACAGAATAATTTAAGGTACTACATTGTCTTATAGTGTAGGGACTAATGAAATAAGAAGAATTTTATTGAGTTATCTGCACCCATTACATTTTTGTTGCTTTTACAAAGAAAAAAGGTGATCTGTTTCATTTAAACATTTAATTTCTTGCCATTATGTGGCTTTAATGTTTTTGAGTCATTCCCAGCTTAAATTGATAGTAGTAATATTAGTATTGTAAAAGTGCCATACATTTAATCCCAGTAGGTGTGATGCACTGAGAAGTTAGTTTTTTTGGATTTTTTTTTTCTTTCTCTTTTCCTTTTCTATTCTTTTTTTGTCTTGTATATGTAATTTGTATAATTTCTGGTTAGCATCCCAAAGATTTAAAAATTTAGAATGCTGTGTGTTTTTTATTTGATTGTACTGCATTTAATGAATATTAAATAGTGCATATTCTGTACACTATATGGTTTAGAATGTGTTTGTATTTTATAACTTATATAGATTGAGCTGACTGGAATAAGGTTTTGTCCTAAGATAGAGTACAAGATACTGTAAAATTGTATAGATGTTTAAAGCTTTTTTGCTATAAAAAGAAATAATGCAACTTCTTTTTGCCATCCTCCCTTAGCCACCCAAAGTGATAAGTGCTGAAAAAGACTCATATTTAAAGCTGGAGGTCTTGATCCAGCATCTTGAAGGGGTTCAAGAATCTGGAGAAGGCACTGTGTGTAAATTAATAAAGAGTCCAGAGACGAAGCATAATTTTGGAAGGTATTTTGGAGAGCCAGAGAAGACTCAGCTCAAGGAATCAAATTCTTCTGTCTCTCTGGATCCCTTGCTTTTTATTAACACAAATTGTCCTAAAGCAAGGTATATATACATATCAAAAGCCAAGGTTTAGTAAACCTAGGTTTTGTTGGATTGGAGGAACTGCCTTCAGCTGTTCAGATGTTTGGCCAGAAGGAGGCTATAACATATAGATTGAAATGCCCTCAGCTGTCTGGCAGCGCAATCATTTATGCATCCTTTTCAGGTTCGGGGAAATGCCCTCAGCCAATCCAGATGATTCAGCCCTGCTGACATGAAGGAATTATTGTATAGATTTTGATATGTGGTGCCAGGGAATACTGATTGGATAGCAATTCTAATCACCACTACTGACTAAAAGTTAACTCAATTTTCAGCTGTCTTTAAATGCGTATATACGTATATTACTGCATGTAAAAGCAAAAGGAACTAAAGTCATGCTGGCTAATTTCAAATGCTGCAATGTAGTAAGGGATAAACATGTTTTCAACTTTAACCCTTTAATTCTAAAAAAATTTTAAGACCAAATAATCCTTAATATCAGATTAAAAACTGAAAGATTTTGCAGTTTTATCATTTGGATTCTTATATGAGAGTTGTCTCACAGTGTCCCTCTATATTTAGATTTGGAAATTTTCAACACTAATGTTAATGTGATTCATAAGCATGGGTGTGTCTTAAATGTACTTTCTGGTTACCTGTCTGCTCTGTTTTGTTCAGATACTTAGACCATAAGTAAGCAGAGTCAGGTACCACTAGTGTGCTGAGTTTGGCATAGATAATGCAGTGATTTCATCTGGGCCTATCAGAATTTCATAATATTAAACTATTGCTACCAATAACTTTTGATGAAACTATTGAGTTATATTAATATGTTTGAAATCACCACTGTTACCTGTCATAGAAAACAGTACTTAGTAGTTAATCTGTATGTAGCTGGTTAATGTTTGATGGCTGCCTAAACTCAACTGGGTATGTATATATAAATGAGAAAATACAGATTATTTAGCCAGACATAAGTGTTAAGTAAACTTTTTTCTTCCTCCTATATAATTTGTAGCTCATTTTTTCTTTAATTCTTTCATAAATTGATGCAACAGTTTGAATTTCTCAAATATTTATATTAGAACATATGGTTCAGAATATTTAAACATTATTAGCTGTATATATTTTTAAAGTAGACTAAATAATGGAAAAGGACTTTGATATACAAGTGTATCAAATGAATACTTAAATTTCAACTGTGAAGATACATTATAAGATTACTTTGCTAATAATCTAAACATTCTTTTTACTATTAAAAGAAATAAATGGTGTGTGGTAATTACTTCTGGCTTGATGCTCATCAACTTTGAAAATACAATGGACTAAAAGCAATTCTATTCTTTTAGATTTCACTTAAATCTCTGTCCTGTCCATGTTTGCTTAGTTTATAAATGTGTAACATTGATAGTTAAATGGGACAAAGCTAACCCTATGGCTATTGATTTCAAAAATTAAGCAAATTAATATATAAATAAATCAGAGAGGCTTTTTAGGTACTTTTGAAAAGAAAAATTTCTCTAAACAGGTATTGGTTCTGTAGGGTTGCACCAATCAGTTCTTGTAGAATTTAAAAAAAAAAAAATTAAATTGACTTGTTTCTGTCAGGATTTAAGCTTCTTATGAACTTACTAGAGGCCTGGTGCACAAATTTGTGCACCTGTGGGGTCCCTCAATCTGGCCTGCTGGGATCGGGCTGAAACCAGCTCTCTGACATCCCCCAAGACATCCCGGATTGCAAGAGGGCAGTTCTCAGGTGATTACCCTGGAATCGGGTTCCCTCCTCTGGTTCTGAGTGTCACCCAAGAACCGCCGCAGCTCGGCAGCTCCTGTGTTTAGCATCTACCCCCTGGTGGTCAGTTCGCATCATAGCTACTGGCTGTTTTGTGTGTGTGTGTGTGTGTGTGTGTGTGTGTGTGTGTGTGTGTGTGTTGGCTGTTTTGTGTGTGTGTGTGTGTGTGTGTAATCACTCTGTGGCTACAAAAATGTATTCCACAGAGTGATTATTTATTTGGTATTTCATCAAAACATCTTGGACCAACCAAGAAAAAATAAATGAAGAGAAAGTTCATAATATACCACTTCCCTTTTACAAAAAGATCTACATTATATGTTCTTACTTTCACTAATGAAAAAATCCAAAAAGGATTGTCCTTTTATGAAAAAGTAGAAGCCTGGTATATGAACTTTGGCCTGTGCCCTCTTGCAATCTGGGAGCCCTCGGGGAATGTCCAACTGACAGCTCTGTGGGGAGTGAGCCGTCAGTCAGATATCCCTAGTACTGCTACGGATGCAGGAGAGTCTCCCGCCACCACCACTGCACTCCCCAGCAGTGAGCCCAGCTTCTGACAGAGTGGCTCCCCTGTGGGAGCACACTGATCACCAGGGGGCAGCTCCTGCGTTAAGCATCTGCCCCCCTGGTGGTCAGTGTGTGTTATAACGACCAGTTGTTCCACCATTCTGTTGATTTGCTTATTAGCCTTTTAATATATAGGATAGTGAAAATAGCATTCAGCAGCAGTTTTGCAGGGAGCCATTATAGAGGCAGCATGCACCCTGAGCAGCATGCATGGCACTACTTTCATTATATGTTCATGTTATTTTTGGTTTTATGTGTTATTTAGTACATTATTTTGGGGGGTTTGGGAATGCTTAAAATTTTTCCCATGTAAATTAATGGTAATTGCTTCTTTTCTTTACCCCATTTATGCTTAGGAAAGGTGTCATGGGAACACTCAGCTTTCACATAGCACAGGAAGCCTGTACTACCTCTAAACTGCCTCATTTTTTAAAATGTATTGAATTTTACAGAGAGGAAGGGAGAGGAATAAAGAGTTAGAAACATCAGTCAGCTGCCTCCTGCATGTCCACTACTGGGGATGTTCCCGCAACCAAGGTACATGTCCCTGACCAGAATCAAACCTGGGACCCTTCAGTCCGCAGGCCGATACTCTATCCACGGAGCCAAACCAGCTAGGGCTAAACTGCCTCATTTTTAACCTTTTTAAATTTCTTTCTTTTAATTCTCACCCAAGAATATTTTTTCCATTGATTTTTAGATAGAGTGAAAGGGAGAGGGAGAGACAGAGAGAGAAACATCTATGTGAGACAGATACATTGACTGGTTGCCTCCCACACATGCCCCGACCTGCAGCTGGGGGTCAAGCCTGCAACTGAGGTATATGCCTGTGCCCTTGACCAGAACCGTTCAGCCCATGGGCTGACACTAACCACTGAGCCAAACTGGTTAGGGCCCTTTGCATTTCTTACTGAAAGTTTGGGTGAAAGGCAGTTTAGCTTACAGTTTCCAAAAAAGCTCTTAGTTGTTAAGCAAATTAACCTATACTGTATAATGCGAAGTTGCCTCAGGTTTTTTCTTTACCTGTATAATGTAGTCATAGGGGACTTTCTGGTTTCTGGG